TGATGTAGTAATTAAGAAAAATATTATATATGCTACAGTTTATGCCATGCCACAAATACCAAAACAAACTTTGTTTTATAATAAAAACTTAAAATCCTAAATATAAATGTATATATGTACATATATACATTTATATTTATGTATATAAATATAGAAATATTATATATATGTATATATATGTGTGTATATATATATATATATGTGTGTATATATATATATATACATATATATATATATATATATATATATATATATATATATATATATATATATATATATATATATACATATATATGTATATATTTATATATATATTTATATACATATATACATAAATATGTATATATATATATATATATTTATGTATATATTTATATATATATTTATATACATATATACATAAATATATATAAATACATATATATATATATATATATATATATATATATATATATATATATATATATATTTATATATATTTATGTATATTTATATATATATATGTGTGTGTGTGTGTGTATGTATATATATGCGTGTTTATATATGTATATATATGTGTGTGTGTATTTATATGTATATATGTGTGTTTATATGTGTATATATATGTGTGAGTGTGTCTATATATATATATATATATATATATATATATATATATATATATATATATATATATATATATATATATATATATATATATATATATATAAAATAACTTTAAAACTCTTTAAAAGTTTAACATTTTTTGAATTTTTAAAGGCATTTTCAAACAATCGGCGCGAATAGAAGTTTACAAATCATTAACTATTTAAAAACGTCGTTACAAATCATGTAAGGTTTTTTTATCTATACCGATTGTGCGCATTTTTATTACTACTATTTTTGTGAACTGGTGGTATTTTAAGATTATTGTGAACTTGCGGAAAAAAATCAGACTAGTTAACCAGTGAAAATTAACAAATATGGAGCTGTTTCACACGTCTTGAATTTCATGAAATTCAAGTTGCATTTCTCTATAATAAGGCAGGTTTTTATTTTGAATAATAAAAAACTCAAAGAGATCAATAAAATGGCTGACTACATTTCTCTCTCCAGAGCATCGCAGTTTTTGACCTGCGACTTTTCTGATTCTGCAATTTCTAAAGTAAAACTTAATTTCATAAGTTCTGATACTTTAGTCTTATTATTTAAGAATAATTTATGTCATAAAGTAACAAATTATTTAAAAACGATGGTTTGCAAAATAGTTTAATATAGTACTACCCTACATTTTTTATTATTCAAAATATAATATTTTTTTTAAATGATAAACATTTTTCGATAGTAGTTACAAAACTAAATATAAAAAGCATTATTTTTTTACTTATTTGTCATAAAAAAATTGCTGAGTCAGCATAAAAAAGCAAAATGCATGCAATCACAAGAACATAAATAACTTGAGTAATATTTGAGATTTAGCTTTAAATTTTACAGTTTTAAATATTACAAACATATAGCTAAATGGTTGGTGGAGGGCTCTTAGTATAATTTTTTTTTTGATACAGAGCTAATGTAAAATGGAAGATATTAATCGGTAAAAATCATAAAAAATGGTCCATGGGTATGTAAAATTTTAGATTCTAGTCAAAATAAAAAATATTTTTTGATTATACTACTACCAGCCCTTTCATCAATGAACAAACTGAAAATTTCAATGAAAAAGAGTAAATAGTTTCTGAGATATCAATATTATAGTTTTAAAATATTATTCTGAGAAAAATATCTTTTAAAATAAAAAGTCATTAAAGTAAAAAATCTATAGTTAAAAAACGTCTAAACTGGCCACAAAAATATGATTAACCACCTTTAATATTTTTTTCTGTGTCAAAATAACCAATACCAATGGAAAAATTGTAAAAATAAGGCAAACAAATTCGAAAATTACCTTGTTGCCATTGAATACTAATTTAAGTACTAGACTTTTAAGTATTAGATTTTTTTAAATTTAAGTATTAGACTTTATATGAAGGGAAAAAAGATTATAATCGTGATCCAAAATTTTCAAACTTAAAATTTGACCTTCTTTTGACCGAGATCACAATACAAAAATGGTAAAAAGTTCTATATTCAAAGATAAAGGTAGGTCCGAAAAGATGTAAAAATAGATATAATCAAAGCTGAAATCCTTCTGAAAGCAGTATTTGTTGATAAAGACCAACCACTAGGTCTTGAGTTGTATATTTCACCAGACTACTGGTTAATTTTTGATATTCTAGGTCATAGATTGAAAAAATGTCTACGGAGTCCCTCAAACTTTTTGGATACAATGAATCCCAAAACTTTAAAAATCTTGAATGAATCCTAAAAATTTTAAAAAGTTGCTTGTTAGCATCAGAACTCACAGCAAAATCGTAAACATTGACCATAGTTTAAGAAATTTGTTTCTCAAAACAAGAAATATATTTCTTGTTTTTAAAAATAAATTACAGGGTAGGCTATTTATTTCCTCAAACAAGAAACATATTTCTTGTTTTAAGAAAAATATTTCGCAATAAATAAATTCAATTTTGCTATGCTTACAGTAAAATTTATTGATTTAAGATAATGTAGAGCGTGCGATGAGCTTGGAGAAGCTTTAGAAGCCACTCAAATAATGAGTTTTTGTAAAAAACCATTAAAAAGGTAAAAAAGTGAATTCAAGGAGTTAGCTACGCCAACTGCTTTCTTGCTTTCTCGTTATTGAATGGTTCTAATAATTTGAACTTTGATCCAATACATAACTACAAACTCTGAACCTTAAAAGTACATCTAAATATTATTTTTTTACATACTTTAGATATTGGTCTCAAACTGAAAATTTATTTGCATATGAATATTTATTGTACATTTGCAGTGTTTAAACGCTAAATTCTAAAGTAAATTTGCTTCAGAAACAAGAGATCTGTGATAGTGACGGATCCAGCATTTTTTGGTGTTAGCGATAGCTAACATGGAACAAAATCCAAACATTTGTATGTTTATATTTATGTCAAATAATGATATTTTTTTAAAAGTTGCAATGATTGGAGGATGAGAAAAAAAAAGACGTTTTCCGTCTGCCCCAAACGTGAGAGCAACAAGCTGATAATTTTTTTGCTATTCTTCTATGTCTGCTATCTCAAACACAAAAAAATGCTGAAAACTTTACTGATCTGTGGTTAACTGCTTGTTCTATGATGTTTGACTCATTAGGTTTTCTTGGAGCACCTAAAATAACCACAGAAAAACACTGTTCATATATTTTTAAATCACATTGATACGTTTTTATCTAGTTTATTTTGCAACAAAAGATCAAAAGTCTTTTACCCAACCTTTTGAGAAAACCATTTTGGGCTTCAGTAACAGTATTTTTTTTTTAAAAAAAGATCATTTGATACCGATGAGATAAACTAATGAGATTACTAGAAAAAAGCTCAAAAATCAACAAAAAATTACTTTACAATAGCCAAAGTCTTAATTTATCTATCGTAACCAGTTAAAGATCAGTACAACATATGTCTTAAAATAATAGGCACAGTGTTTTTTTGGCACAGAAACACATTAAGAAAATATCGTTGAACAAATTAATGTAATTAAATAAAAAAAATTAAATAAATGGATTTGACATCAGAATCTATTTGCGCCAATGCTTAGATGATATAGATTGTCAATATAATGACGTTAATAAAATTTATTCTCATAAATTTGACATCATAAATATCCTTTTTCCATTTAAACGTATCCTCTTTACAAAAGCACTTTGAAGATCTAAACATATTAATTAATTTTGAAATTAGCATTGTTGGAATTACGGAAACAAAGTTAAAAAAAGAATCTCCTTCCACACATTTAATTACTATTCAATTATATATATATATATATATATATATATATATATATATATATATATATATATATATATATATATATATATATATATATATATAATATATATATATATATATATATATATATATATATATATACATATATATATATATATATATATATATATATATATATATATATATATATATATATATATATATATATATATATATATATATGTATATATATATATATATATATTATATATATATATATATATATATATATATATATATATATATATATATATATATATATATATATATATATATATATATATATATATATATATGTATATATATATATATATATATATATATATATATATATATATATATATATATATATATATATATATATATATAATGATTTTTCAAATTAAAGCAAAAAAAGTATAGGAAAATCATTCAACCGCTAAAAAGTGCAGATTTTAGCGCGAATTGTTGTGACTTGATGTGATGTAAAAAAAATATGCAAATTACTTAATAATATATATACTGGATTTAAATATATATATTTTTTTGACGCTTTTAAAGTCTACTTTAAAAGCGTCAAAAATATATATATACTTAAATCCAACCCCCCTCTCGTAATTTAGCTCGGCAGCTCCCCTCCACTCTTCTGTAAGGAGTGGGGCGTTTAAACCAAAGGAGCAAAACTTGTTCTACTTACATAATGTTGTATTAATTATATTTTTTTTGTAAAAATGTTTCAAAAAATGAATTAGATTTCTGAATTGTTGAGAAACAATTCAGAAATCTAATTCATTTATAATGTTCATATTCTGAATATGAACATTATAAATCAAAAAGAAAATTGCATATTTAAGTATGTTCATAAATGTAAGGAATTAGGATGCTATGCAAAAAATTGCGGTAATTGGAGTCTGTGAATAACAAAAACCCCAAAACGTTAGCCCCATCAAGAGGGCAGTTAGGCATATTTGTAACTTTTTTTTAATTTTAAACTAAATTTATTTTCATCGACGAATTTCAAATTTAATTCAATAATCTTTTTTGTTCGGTTTTTTTGACCTTAAAAAGTTTACACCCCCCTCAAATTGAAGAGGCTGTAAACTTTATAAGGTCATAAAAGCCGATCAACAAGAGATTATTGAA